CATGCATGTGTGATGACACATGTGGGATTCGAACCCAAGCAGCCATCGCAAAAAGATCACGCATAACCACTGAGCTAAGGCAACAACATATTATATTGGTCCCGGTGCTATATAACTACCTCTGCTACCTTCCCTTGCGCAGACTTGATCTGTTTGCAATATTGCCAGGCTATGCAATAGATTGATGTCCCATTGTTGTGCAGACACTTTCTATAATCAGATATGTTGGATCAGTGGTACATACATATTCTAAGTAAATGAAGGTTGGATCACATGTGCATACACAATGCACCTTGACGAAGGTCGGATCGCGTGTGCATACACAATGCGCCCTGACGAAGGTCGGATCCGCAATGCGTACATTTTCGTGAAATTTTGCCGAGGTTGGATCATTGTGCATACACAATGGCCAAAATCGGTAGGTACATTTTTGCCCAAAAACCGTGATTTCTGATCCGACCTCTAAGGGCATAAGCCGGGGTCCTGGCACAATACGGATGCAATGCACGGCAAGAAAGGCGACTTTCACCATGCAGGATGGGTGTGTGGCATGCAGGCTGTGTCGGAGCGACGAGTAGTGTTAAGGTCATGGGGGCCCAAAAACAAGAGCAGTCCCATGTACAGTAACCATGTTCTGGTCCGCGCGCGCGCAGCGGGCAACTTGAAGTCGCTTCCGTCACGGTCAGCATCAGCTTCTCACCGTCGGAGACGCCAGTACCACTGTCAGCCCAATGCACCTCGCGTGAAGTCACCCTTGAAGACCCCCTGGCGCTCGATGTCTGGCGAAGTACGGCTCAATATGCCTACAGAATTGCGACCGCTCTCGCTGCTCTCACGAAATAAAATCGGCTCGCATGCGACCCGCAGAGGCATAACGCGGCTAACGGTCGATGTCCCCGCCCCTTCGCGTGCGTCTGAGGAGCCCAAACCTGCTCGGTGGAATACACCAGAATTCTTTTTCTACTATCTGGTATTTCTGCTCGCGGTGCCCTGGATGGTTTGCGTCCCTATTCTCCTCAGTCAGCGTGCGTGACCTGCCGTGGCCCCCATGCCAGCTAATCGACACGGCCTTCAGCGACGCATTCCAATTATGGGCTATATAGTCACAGACTTGCGCCAGGATGGCTCTTCGGTCGCAAATTTGTGTGTTCATGTGTAACAAACTGATAAAGTTTAACTAAAGTGACGGTCAGGATAACAGCGACGTGCAATACCGATCCTTTCGGTCGAACATCCCGGCTCTGCTTGCCTTTCTTGCGATATTTTTCGTCCTCAAGGCGATCTATATACGTTCGGCCAAATTACCGTCACCCACTATACCTAACCGCATGCATCTCCTTCCTTTCTATACGCTCTTCTCCCTCATAATGTTGGCTGCTTTGCACGGTAGTAGCGCCATGAAGGTGCTGGCCATTCTTTGCGGTAACTCTGCCATTACTCGTATAGGCAAAGGTGCAAAATGGATGGTCGTGGCTACGTGGATATATAACGTTGCTGTTCTGTTCGCCAACGAGCGATATGAAGGATACAGATACGGGGATATCTCTGAGAGGTTCTCATTCCTGGTACGAGGTTGTGCTTCAATGCTTCACCACCTCCGAATAAACAACCTATCAGGATAGTTTCCAAGGTGCCTACCCCCGCTGGCATGTCACATTCAATATCACTATGCTCCGACTGGTTTCCTTCAACATGGACTACTATTGGGCGCATAATCGCGTTGGCACGCCTGACGTTCGTCCTTTGTTTAGAGCACTTTCATATCATCCGTCTGATGTGTACAACCCAAGACAGGTTCTGTGCTAATATATAAGCAGCGCACGACCACAAGTCATCCATTACATGCATATTCGTTTAGGAATTATCTGGCGTATGTGCTTTACCCGCCGCTCTACATCGGCGGGCCCATTATGACCTTCAATGATTGGATGTGGCAGGTATATATTCGACTCATACTGCAAAACTCGAGAACTCATGCCTCTCACAGCTTGAGCGACCGGCACACGTATCCATGTCTAGTACACTGCGGTACATGATACGCTTCCTGGGTACTTTGGCCGCGATGGAATTTATCATACACTTCATGTATGTCGTTGCGATCAAGGATGCACATGCATGGATCGGCGATACTCCTGCGGAACTCAGCATGATCGGATTTTGGAACCTGATCGTTGTTTGGCTCAAGGTTGGCCCTCTGTCCAGGCTCGTATAATTTGTTACTTACTGGATGGGCGTGCACAGCTGCTATTGCCCTGGCGATTCTTCCGAATGTGGGCTCTTTTCGACGGGATGGATCCGCCGGAGAACATGGTCCGCTGCATGGCTAACAACTACTCCGTTTTCGGCTTCTGGAGGAGCTGGCACCGATCGTACAACCTTTGGATCGTCCGGTAAGACATATCGAAATCAGAGCGCATGAAATATTTGACATAACGCAGATACATACACATACCTCTGGGGGGCAGCAAGCGCGTGGTGCTGTCGACTCTGCTCGTCTTCACTTTTGTCGCACTCTGGCACGACTTGTCTCTCCGGCTTCTTGCATGGGGCTGGCTCGTTACTCTATTCATCCTCCCGGAGCTTGTGGCACGACAAACCTTCACGTCGGCTCAAGTACGCACCATCCTGTTCATGTCATGTTCTTCCTGGGATTAATTTATGCTGCTAGTTTGGAGACAAATGGTGGTATAGGCACATCTGCGCCCTGGGTGCAGTCGCGAATGTCCTCATGATGATGACCGCTAATCTGGTTGGATTTGCTATCGGGACGGATGGTATGTCTTACATGGCTAGCCAGATTATGGGCAGCTGGGCAGGTAGGCCAATAGATTATTATTGCGACTTATTCAATAGCAGATCTTGTCATAGGTTTACGCTTCTTCCTGTGTGCGTGTGCGGCACTTTTTGTCGGCGTGCAGGTGATGTTCGAGTATAGGTAAGCCTATGCTTTCTAACGCCGCGTTATCAGTCCACATAGTGCATACAGAGAGGAAGAGCTTCGCAACGGCATAAGCAGACGGTGTTGAAAATCTTAAGGGCCTCTCAGCGTCCGTTAAACATATTCCTTTAGTTCTTGCATCTCTCTTTCTCGGGACCATTCTGTACACCCGTAGCATACCCTATCGATGATGGTTATTTGATGCTTTCTTGTCAAAGTTCGCGAGGGTCGCGAGCCTCGTGGGCACCAGCTGTTGTGACTCCGTCCTGCGTGTGCCGTGCGAATGTAAACTTAGGCTGGCTTTTGCTTCGAACGTCGACGGCCCTCTCCTCCAGTCAGTGTTCCCGCACGCTCTCGCTGCACAAGCTACGTCTCTAACGACGTAAAACGTCTTATAGTGGACGACATCTCGAGTGGGTCCGACTCCGATTACACAAAGTAAGTGCAATCGCTTCGTTTCACGGCTGTTCTCGCTCACGCCTCCCCGCCGACAGCTCGGTACGTCCGCCGCGATCGTTCTCTGTACTGTCAATGGAATCAGGGAGGGATGCATAGTGGATATCGTGGTTTCTGTCGTCTAAAGGCAATGAGTACTTCTGTGAGGTCGAGGAGGACTATATCCTTGACCGCTTCAACCTGACCGGCCTAAACACCGAGGTGCAGAACTACTCGCAGGCACTGGATCTGATCACGGACAATCTTGGTGCGTCACGCTCTCTTTTAGGGAACCTGCACTCACTGTATAAGCAGATGAAGACTACCAAGACGATCTGCGCGGCTCGCTTGATATACAGGCTCGGTTACTTTATGGCCTCATCCATGCCCGTTGGATAGTAACTGCAAGAGGGCTGCAGAAGATGGTACGTAGTAATCCCTCCGGTCCCTCGCCTCCGTCGACCTGTCCCTTAGCTCGAGAAATATAAAAAGGCAGATTTCGGTCGCTGCCCACGTGTCCTCTGCCAATCGCAGTCCCTCCTGCCCGTCGGCCTTACCGATGTCCCCTATGAGAAGTCCGTCAAGCTATACTGCGGTCGCTGCGAAGACATCTACAGCCCCAAGTCATCGCGTCACGGCTCGATAGATGGCGCGTACTTCGGCACATCCTTCCCCCACCTCCTTTTCCTCGTCTACCCGAACCTTATCCCGCCTAAGACCGGTCCTGCCGAATCGAGTCGCGGCGGAGGCGCTGCGGGTGCAGGTGAAGACGCAGCAAACGCACGGCGACGCGGGGTGAGGGTAAGAGAGGACGGGGAGGGCGCAGGGGAGGGCATCGGGGAGGGCATCAGCACGGCAACGGTTGCCCTTCGCGCGGACCGCTACCGGCCGCGCATCTTTGGCTTCCATGTCAACGAAATCGCGAAGTTACAGCGGTGGCAGGAGGCCGTGCGCGATAGGTGTGTATATCCACTGATCCACTTGTCCGCCATGCTGAGGAGCGCGCAGGCAAGTCAGCAGGCTCGAGCAGCTCGAGCAACAGCAGGTGCAGGCTCAGCAGCAACAAGCCCAGCAACAGCAGTAGTGACCATGCAGCCATGATTGTATCGATTTCTATGGTTTTCTCTGTTGAGCAGGCACATGTTCGTCTGCGATACCTTCTTAGTACGATCCCGCACTGCTTATTTGGCAACGGATACTCGTGTCTCCTTGGCAGGTCCGGAGGCGCTGAGGCCGTACGAGGGCGGTCTCAAACGTCGCGTCTTGCGCTTCGCCTACCAACACGTGCACTGTGCACGCGCAGGAACGCGTCGAGAATGGCACTGTCCTTGTACTTGCGTCCTGCAGAGAACTCGTTGCCCATTCTTGAAAACCACAATATAGATACATGACGACGTGTAAATGAATGGACATTATATGGAACAGACCAGAGATCGCGTCCTTACTAAAATCCAGGCTTCCGTTTTGCCGTCACCGCGGCTCTTCCGACAGGTCGTGGCCTAGGTCTAGGTTTTCCTGCGCCCTTCTGCGCCTCGCCGCCAGATGTGCCACTCTCCGGAGTTTCGGTGATTTCGACATTGGGCGGTTCCAGGGGTGGAGTAGCCTTGTGGGCTGGTCCGGCCTTCGTTCTAGACTTCGTAACTCCCTTGCCCTCACCAAGAAGATTCATGAGCCGGATGCGCTCCTGATGTTGGGCCGCGTCCTCGTAGGC